GCCTCACTCCACCCTGATCGAGGAAAAGGAATGTTGCTTGTTACAAATCATCACATTCCCAGCTTTGAGATTTAGGTGATGTTTTATGGATTTGTTTTGTACTTTTAAAACAAATGAGCCCTATAGAAACTTTCCTGGTTTCCTGGGAAAGCAGCTTCCATGTGTACAAGGCAGAGGAGCAGGAGAACAGAGGTGACCAGAACAGGCAGGTCCAGCCCTGAAAGAATGGGGCATGAAGGCAGGAAGGGGCAGAGAGGCCGGCACGCTGCACTGCAGCCAGTGGTGCACGTGGGCTCAGAACCTGCCGACCCCCTCCTCTGAGATAAACCACGTACTCTGGTGCTTTCTGTGGCCTTCTTCGGCACGTGTTCTGGTGGGTCCCTGTGAGGCCAGCAAGTGGCCCAGGTGGCTGCAAGGATAAATATTACTTGCGTGAGCAAGCATCATGCTTCAGCAGAAATGTGTACACTCTTCCGTGCGCTGGGCTCTGTCCCAAGGCATTGTCTTATATTGTGTCATTTAATTTTTATAGACCAGAGAGCCAGCCAAATAGCTCAGTGGATTAAAGCACTTGCAAGCAGGCACAGGGGCCGGGGGTTCAGTCCCCGGGCCTGCCATTCCAGCCCCACCCCTGGGGCACACTGAGATGGCTATTGAGACTGGGTGTGGTGGCACACACCTGTAATCCCAGCTCTTGAGAGGCTGTAAACAGGTGGATCACTGAGTCCGATCTAGTGGTGAGACCCTGAACACCCTGTAGACCCTCCCCTAAATACAATAATAATAATAATTTTTATAGACCAGGTATTATTCCATGGATTAAAAAAAGTTCAAATACCAGGGATGAGAGCCAGAATATTTAGCCCATGAACAGCTTTGGCAAAGTAGAAAAGCTAGGAAAACATCCTCCATATTTGTGGCCCTTGCAAAACTAAGATGATAGGAAATATTTTCCTCTTTTGAAGTCTTCTGATGCGAATTTTTAAGAAATGAGAAAATAAATCTCTTCTACAGTGTATTTAGGCCTATGATGTTTACATTCAGCAGGAAAGACAGCTCCCTACCCCAAGAGTAGAATAAATCAGCCAAGTGGCCAGGCTTGAGGTTGGCCCTGGGGGCTTTTCTGAGCTCAAAGAAGGAAGGTGTGCTCACCATCTGCCCTAGATGAAGGCTTGGAGGAGACCCATGCGCCACTGTCTGTGAAAAAGGATTTTCTTCCAGGCCTTTAGTAAAACTGCAGCTTTAAGGAAAATTCATTGTTTAAGTTGCTGAAGTACAAAGAACAGGGACTTCTACATTCCCAAGCCTCTCCTATAGGAATAACCCCGACCTGGCCCATCTGTGAGCCCCACATGAAGACTCACTCGCCCCTAGCGGCACCTTCCACCTGCTGCCCTGCCCAGCGCAGACAGGCTGCGGAAACTCCTTCTAGATAACAGTGGACTCCACAGGCTTTCAGCTTCCAAATGAGATGGCGAAACTCATCTCTGAATCCCGCCGGGAAGTGAAAACACATTGGGAGGAAAGTAGCCGGGAGTCCCAGGGCCATACCCACAAAACCCTGATGAGAAATGAAAGACTTTTTTTTTTTTTTTTTTTTTTTTTGCGGAACCAGGGATTGAACTCAGGCCCTTACGCTTGCCAGGAAAGCGCTTATTCCACTGAGCCATCTCCCCGGCCCCTGAGACTTTCTCATAGACATCGGGATCTACTCCGGGCCTGCCGACCTCCATCTGACGCCGTGTACCGTCTCTGGGATTCTCACCCTCGAGGCCTGTGAGAACGGCCGGGCTCACGCGCCCTCTCTTCCTTTTCCAGACGTTGCAGGTGATCTACCCCTACACCCCGCAGAACGATGACGAGCTGGAGCTGGTCCCGGGGGACTTCATCTTCATGTCTCCCATGGAGCAGACCAGCACCAGCGAGGGCTGGATCTATGGCACCTCTCTGACCACTGGCTGCTCCGGACTCCTGCCCGAGAACTACATCACCAAGGCTGACGAGTGCAGCACCTGGATCTTTCACGGGTAAGGAGGCTCCGGCCTTGGCCCACCACGGCCGACAGCGCATGGCTGGGGCGGACTTCAGGAGGTGGTGAGAAATGAACTCAGTCATGGACGGCGGGGTGGGGTAACAGGAAGTGGAGCCCATGGGCAGGAAGCTGCCTCAGACCTGGTAAAAGAGGGTAGTGCCCTGCCCCTCTTCCTGATCGGAGCCTACTCTAAAGCTGCCCAGGGGCCCGGTTCTCTGGCTGATGGGTGGTGACTCCTCAGTGCTGGGTCTTCACTGCTTGAAGGCCTCTGTCCACCTTGCCCTGGGTCATCACTCTGGATGGATTTTGTCGCAGAGCAGCCAGGGAGATTCCCAGTGTGGGAGACAGGCCAGGCTCAGGATCTCTAACCTTGGGTGCAGGATGCCCTACCTTCAGGGCCACCTTGAGCTGGTCCTCAGATTGGACACACACGTGCCAAGCCACCAGGCACTGTATCTGAGCTAACAGGCAGCTGCCAGAACAGCACCAGGGCACGCTACCTCCATTCTTCCCTAGAGCAACAACTTCCCATCCGCCCCTCACTGCTGCTTGGTTCCCGGTCTGTGCATGCTCTTCCTTCAGAGCAGTCTGTGTGGCTTGGCCGGCTCTGTCATGCTAGATTAAAATAAGAACGAAAGCACCTCCCGTTTCTTAATGCCCGCAACTCAGAGCCAGCCCTTCCCTGGCATGCATGGGCAGCCAGCCAGGGGATGTGTGCTGGGTTGTTTTTCCTCCCTCTTGTTTTTGTCATGTGGCAACACGACGGAGGCAGAATCCCTGGGCAGCAGCTGTGTGGTGGCTGACACTGCCATTGTGACCAGGAGAGTGACATGGAGAGGGGCAGTCTCTGCAGGTGTTCTGCCTGGAGATAAAAGCGAAAAGAAGGCCCTGCCCTGGTGGGCAGCAAGCAGGCAAAGCAGGGGCCCAAAGCCGGAAAGGAATGTTTTCCTCCTGAATAACCCGCTGCATGCCCCTCCCCATCCTAGCAGGCAGCCAGCCCCATCAGAGGCTCAGAGCCGCCTCGTGTACCCTGTCAAGTGCTTTTTCAGAAGTGGTTCAAAATGAAGAAGTTGAATTTCCAATGTATCATTTTACCTATATAAGAACAAGTAGAGGGACCGGCGAGATAGCTCAGCAGACTAAAACGCCTGCTTAGGCAAGCTTAGGCAAGGGCAGGGACCATGGTTCCATGATCCCCAGCGCCACATGCCGCCACCCCCAGGGCGGACTGACCCAGCCACAGAGTCTGGGCCTAGTGGTGCACACCCGTAATAATCCCTGCGCTGGGGAGGCTGAAAACAGGAGGATGAGTCCGAGCTGCGTAGTGAGATCCTGTAACAACCAAATACATTAAATTAAAAAAAAATTAGCAAACACAGTCGGACGCCCCCTGTGATGTTTCAGACAGTGATGGCATGCATGTAAAGGTGTACCGTTTGGTGACATGGTAACCAGCTGACTTGAGTACGCTCCTTCTCAGAATGTGTGCACATTGTTAAATGACAAGGGCAGTAAGGATGGATAAGCTGAGAGCTGAAAAATGGGTGGTCTGAGGAAGCCCACCCCAGCTCTCCTGTCCCCCCCCCATGGGCTGCAGGCTGGAACAGAGAACACTGTTCCCGCACCACCTGTCCCTGACGTAGAGCTCGGGCTGAGCCCACGTGACTTCAGTGAGCAGGTCACACAGTCTGCGTGTCACCTACTTTTATTTTGAGAGGTTAGCAGTGTTTCTACGAAATGACATTTGAAATCCAACCACCAGCATCGACAGCCAACACTGCTAGTGTGGGGAAATACCAGCACCATACCTCGGGACATTTCAATTAAGAATCTGAGTATTAGCCAATGTGATAGTGCATGCCTGTGATCCCAGCTTCTGGGAGGCTGAGGCAGGAGGACCACCATGATTTCCAGGCCAGCCTGAACCACAAAGAGAAACCTTGTCTCAAAAAAAAAAGAATTTTAACCAATACTCTTATATTCAAATCCCAGCTCTCCCATTTGCCAGCTATGTGGCTGTGGCCGGATTACACCACCTCTCTCAGCCTCTTTTTGTTCACTGTAAAGTGGAGGTAAGTTTTGCATTTACCTCATAGGGCTTAGCTTTTCATGGAGCCATGTCAGGTATACAACAGCGCCAAATGTACAGTAGCTATTAACATTCTGAGCACTCCTTTTTTATGTCTCGGGTTTACCAGTCCTCACTTCCATTCTCACCAAATCAAACGTCTCTTCCACAAAGCCATTCTCTGTTTGAGCCGAGGTGGAAATGCCTTGAGGAGCAGTGCCTGGCTCACTGTGAGGCCACCCTCCTTACGTCCTAATCAGCGACAGACCAGAGCAGGTGGAGCCCAGGGCCAAAGTCCTGGCCAGACTCGCTGGGAGCATGCAGAGGGGACCCTACAGCATGCTACGTGGCCCTCGCACCCTGTGTCTCTCAGCCCTCTGGGTACCTCCCACTGCTCCCTGGACTCAGAGCACCCCTGGGCAGCTCATGGAGCCCCACTGCATCCCCTAAAGTGAGTGACTGCACTTCAGGCCTGCCAAGGGCCTTCCATACCATAGGAAGGAGCCAGCACCTCCAAAGTGCTTGAGAAGAGGTTCTGGGTGTCAGCCTGGCTTCCTCCCTACCCTGCTCTCAATATATAGCACCCGTTATTGTCTTCTGGAAACACACACACACACACACACACACACACACACACACACATACACAGGCTGTCTCAGCGGGATCCGTTGATTCAAATGACAGGAGAAGAGGAGGCTGATGTTCTCTTTGCCAAATGAGCGGAAGGGGGAAGAGAAGCTATCCTATCAGCGTCTTCTCAGCTCTAATAAAGACAATAGAGGCCTATACATGCAGGATGTCAGCCAGTTCTTGAGAACCAGGCATTTCTGGGCCCGGAAGCTCTGATGAAGCAGACAGGAAACTGAATTCTCTGTAATGCCAATGTTCTGGAGGGTAACAGTGTAAACTAAAGGAGAAGTGCTGCTCTGTCAGACTGTATGAATGGCATGAGAATTCCTTGGGCTGCAGTTACTTAATTTTGCTCCCAACAGGTTGCATTTGACTGCACGACAAACTTAGTAACACAGCTATATGACACTGGCGGCTCTAGTTACACCCCACACACCTCTGTGAGGAGTAGTTTCCAGCCAGAAGTAGTGTTTAAAGGTTCTAATATGCACAAGGCTGAAAATCAGTTTTTCAGGATACAAGGCCTCTGAGGATTTCACTTATTAGCAGAACGAGTTTATCATTTGTCATTAAAGAAAAGATATGAGTAGGTACTTCTGAGAGCAAAGAAGATAAAACTCATAATTCTTTGAAAAGAAAATCTACTGAAAACCAGTTAGGTTAACATTCCTGGGAGATGCACAAAGTTATTTTCAAAAATAAAATTCTAACCAGCATGGTAGGACGATGCTGGAGGCCCAGCCTCTGTGGAGGTTGAGCCAGGAAGACCCAGAGTTCAAGGTCAATCTGGACTCTGTAGTGAAATCCTGTCTCAAAAAAATCAAAACGATCTGGGCACGGTACTTGCAACCAGGAACCAACAGTTTAACACAGCTTGGGCAATTTAGCGAGACCCAAGGGCAGCACGATGAAAGAGTTTTTAAAAAAAATTCTTATTCTTCTTGTCAGATGGAAATTACCATGGAAAAGATTAAAGGCAAAGGGAATTGTTTATTTCATTTGAACCATAAAAATAGCTGAAAACAGTGGTACATGATTGACACTTTATTATTTTTTCACATGTCCTTGGTGCCAGCCCTGCCTGTGACATCCTAATAAGGACAAAATCATTGGATCCCAGCCCTATCCGCAGGAGCAAAAGCATCTGTTTTCAGTGCAGAAGTCCACTTCCTCCTCCTTATTAGCCGCAGGATAATAAAACAAGATGTTCGGTATAAAACAAGATTTTCCCCCCTCCGCCGGGATGGGTGCACTCTGCTCAGTCCACCCCAGTGCTGTGCTACCGGGGGAGCACCTCCTGCTCCTTCTCACTGGTGTGGAGCGTGGGTGACTCCTGGCCTAAGCAGTTAACAGTTCCTTCACCTTCTTCCGCAGTTCGTACTCCATCTTAAATACGGCATCATCCAGCTCGCTCACGTTTGGTGATGGGGTGTTAGAGAGGCGGCACTATGAGGACCAGGGACTTGGAGAGACGACGCCCCTGACCATCATCTGCCAGCCCATGCAGGTGAGACTGATGACTGCGGTCACACGCTCACATCCAATCAGGACATCAGGACACACTGAGAAGCAATTTATTAAGTGTTGACGTTGCCCTGCTGCCCCCCGCCCAGGGTCTCTGGTCTCTTGAGAATACAATACACACGATTATAGAAAATCTGCTTCAAGGCTAGGAAGAGCCAAGTGAGCTGCGTGAACAGTGACCACCAGCATTTGAGTCTGAGCTAGGAGGAAGGTTGCTCCACAGAGGAGGGAGATCTTGCTCTCTAGTGTAGGAATGGTGCCCATCGCTCTCTCTGCTTTGTACATTGTTGTGAAGATTAAAGAAAATAATAAAGTAAGGCTCCTAGCACAACAGCACATGAGTAAGTGCGTGATACATTACTTTTCCGAGAGAGGTCCGGGAAGAGAGTAGAGAGCAGGAGTTGTTTAGCAGTATGGACAGAGGCAGGCAGAATGTTCAAGTGTGGTGAGGGTGGAAAGCATAGAACACTGGGGATGGAGCCCAGAGTGTGAGTCAGGGAAGGGTAGGAAAGAAGAAAGAGAAGCCCTTTCCCACAACACATGCATTAACCTTATCCGAGCAACTAGAAGCTGATAGAAACGGCTGGCTGCCGTGGACCTGGGAGCACTAAGGAGGCCGACTCTCACCAAGGAAAGAGCTGACTGACTATTGTTAAGAAGGGACCAAAACATCCATAAGGTTCCACCAGCAGTCACAGAACCCAAACGCAGGTGGGCCTGCCTTTGACTAGACTTGCCTATTTTATCATTGAGGAGAAGCTATTGTCCTCCCGAAACCATTTCTGGGAACATCAACGCCGCTGTAGTCAGGCAGCGCAGCCCACATGGTGATTAGAATAGGGAGGCAGGCTTCGCAGCTGGAGCTGGAGCAGACGGCGCTAGACGTAAAAGAGCTACTGGTGTGGTGATAATTCGTTCCTTCCGTGGGACTGAAATGTCCTTAGGTCACCGCCTCATTTTAGAGATGAGACGGATTTGTGACAGTAGAAGTCCTTGGCCCTGAAGAAGCTGATGAAGCATGCCTTTGGGAGAGAACGCAGTCCCACTGGAGGCCTACATTCATGGCTAGTTTTGTCTCTGAGCTGCAACTCACTTGGCCTTTGTGTTTTAGCAGTGGCAAAAGGCTACTCCTGCTGAAAGCCACGGCAGCCATAACACCGCTTCCAGGACACAACGCCCACACACACACTTTTTTTTTTTTTTCCAGAAGTTGAACCCAGAACTTGATACGCGCTAGATCCTCAGTCCATTTTTATTTATATTTTGGGTCTCACTGAGTTGTCCAGCCGGCCTCAAACTTGCAATCTTTCTGCCTCCGGTTCCTAAGAAGGTGGAATCATAGGAGTGTACCATTGCATAGCCCTTCTTATTTGATGAAACACCCGCAGTGTATCTCATTTGAGCCTCAGAATGAATTCTGAGGTCTTAGTATCGGTCTTCAAAGTCGTTATTTTAAAACAGCCAGCCAAAATCTAAGGTTCTCTGGGACTTTTTAAAGCCACACCTTGGCAAAACCTGGGGTGATGTCTACTGAGCTTTGTGCCTCCTCGGGATTCACTCTTCTTCCTCTACAGCCTCTGAGAGTCAACAGCCAGCCGGGCCCTCAGAAGCGCTGCCTCTTTGTGTGTCGGCATGGAGAGAGGATGGATGTTGTTTTTGGGAAGTACTGGCTGTCTCAGTGCTTTGATGCCAAAGGTAAGCACTGTCAGGTCCCTGATCCATGGGTTTATTCAGTGCAGTTCCAGTTGTCCATGGTCATCACAGTCTGAAAATACTTAGTGGAAATATTCAAAAACAAATGATTCATAAGTTTTAAATTGGACTCTGACTGAAGTAGTGTGGTAAAATCTCACACCATCCCACTTCTGCCAGCCTAGGTGAGCCAACTTTTCCCACTGTGTGTGTGTGTGTGTGTGTGTGTGTGTGTGTGTATGTGTGTGTGTGTGTGTGTACTACCCACCTGCCGGTCACCTGCAGTCCATCTTGGTTATCAACTCTACTCTCACCACATCTCAGTGCTCATGTTCAAGTCACCCTTATATAGTAGCCTAACATGACTCACCTCACCACAGAGACATTATACCCTTCCACATCTTCACAGGAAGGGTGAGCGCAGTACATTAAGATATTTAATGAGAAAGACTACCTTTACATAAGTTTCATTGAAGTATATTATCATTGTTCTTTTATTATTGACTTCTCACTGTGCATAATTTAGGAACTAAATTCTATCATAATTACGCTTGTGTAGAAATGCACACAGTCTATGTACAATTTTCAGTAGTAGTATCTTGGTTCGGACATCCACTAAGCGTCCTGGAGCACACATTCTGCCTGTGAAAGGAACTATCGTGCTGTCTTTGGTAGACCTCATGAACTGGTATACCAATTATGGCCTCTAGGGGGCATAGGCAAGCTATATTTACCTACCTGGACTCATGTATGAGTCTGAATACTGTTAGAAAATGCCTCTGATAGGTTGAATCTTTCCTGATTGTCTTGGATCTGAGGGAAGAGCTAAGTGTTCGTATCCCCACTGTACAAGCTGAGGCACAAGAGGCCAAAGAAATGTCTTGCCTGTGGTCATATGGCAAAGTCTGTGTCCAGGATTGGTCACAGTCCCACAGCCAGAATTCCCTCCATTAAATCCCCACCCTGGCTCATCTGGTTCCCTTTTCATATCAGGAGCTTTGTAAGACAGGCGTCAGAAAATGCCACCTGGATTAGAGTGTCTGGTTGTTATTTTCACTCAGAAACTATCTCTTATCACTTCTGTCAGCAGAGCAGGAAAGTAGATTCCACACCAGTCTACTGAATAAAATGTGTCAGATTCAATATTTTACATTAGCTCCAAAGAGTGCAATTCAGTCTCTCAGTCAGGAGGGAAGGGGAAGGGTGTCAGAGCCAACAGAGCAAATCCCAAGAGCAAGAAGCTTACGCAGCTCCTGTCCAACTGTTTTCCTTCCAGGCCGCTACATTCGCACCAACCTGAACATGCCTCACAGCTTACCTCAGCGGAGTGGTGGCTTCCGGGATTATGAGAAAGATGCTCCCATCACCGTGTTCGGGTGCATGCAAGCCAGACTAGTGGGTACGCGCTCCAGAGTGACTGAGCAGGGTTTCCTGGCTCCTTCTTCCAAGGATTGGTGCCGTGGGTGTGTCAGGACGCTTCCAGGGACCTTCCATAATTTTCCAGCAGAGCTAGATGTATTTCTTCAGGTCAGAAGGGATGTATTACACAACCATTAAGTTCCAGGCATGGGCTGGGTTTACAAAATGAACACAGTGTAGTGCTTGCTCAGAAGTATGCTAGGGAAGATTATAACACTGGAGTAAGTGACAGGTCAGCTTCTGACCGTAGCACCCGAAACACAGCCCTAAGAAGAGCAAGGGTGGGAGGAAGGAGCCCAGAACCTGCTGAATTCATGGAGGCTGGCTAATGCTTGAAGACGCTCAGCTCTTTGCAGCCCTGATCTATATCAGCCAGGCAGAGAGAATGCCTCATGCTGCTCAGCAGCTTGCTTTACACAGGTCCCTGGACTGGGGTTTGAGGGCCCACGTGTGAGTTTGTGAGAAACAAACTCACATGTGGATAAATAGCCTACTGTCCGGTACACTGAATAATACGACTATGCACAGAATAGATGGGAGCACAAAAGCCCAAAAAGGGAAGACAAAGAAGAGGAAAAGAGAGGTGAGCTAGAAGAATGCACAAGAGGAAGAGAAGGGTGTTCTTAGGAGAAAAACAATATGAACAGCATCAAGGTGGCTGGGAAAACACGCTGTCTTGTTTCTAGAGCATAAATGGGGAGACCCACAAGGCATAGACTGGCAAGACGAGTACAGGCAAGTTTGCAAAAGACCATAGCCACCATATTGAAGGACAGATTTACCACGTAGGAAAACAAGTGGATTCTACGAAGCAAGCATTAAGGTATCAGATGTCAGGATTTGTCTCTGGCATCCAAGACTATGATCAGTTGAGGCTGGGGAGATGGCTCAGTGGCATAAGTGCCTACCTGGAAAACACAAGGTCCTAAGTTTGATCCCTGGTACAAAAATACATATATATGACCAGGTGAGATTTTGGTTAACACAGAATGAAATTAAAGCTAGATCTAATTTTCTTTTCCTCAAAATACAGAGATTAGAATATTGTTCTGTTTGAAGTCAGGGCATTATCCAGTTTCTATATGTCCCTTAAGGGCACATTTTGCCACTTGTAGCCACCAAGGAGAAAGAATGAGAAAAATAAGATAAGAAGGGGCCTGCTTCTTGGCCTCCTCTGGTGAGTGGATTTGCTAGAAACAAGGCTGACGCTACTGGGTCTGTGAGGACCCGCACTAGGACAGAGGGGTTCACTGGATCTATGGGAGGCACATTGCACTGGGGGTCGAGCTGAGTCCAAGTAAGTCCAACAGGCTGAGTCTCCTCAGTTTTCCTCACAGGTGAAGCCTTGTCAGAAAGTAATACTGTCATCGATCACATCTACTGCTCCCCATCCCTGCGCTGCGTTCAGACAGCACAGAACATCTTGAAAGGTGAGTTTCCCAGGTAGACAGAAGCCCGTTAGTCCCTCATCTCTAGACACTTGATCATCTCAGGGCTCAGGGATTCTCCAGTTGTAAACTGACCTGGACTTGTGAGTAAGGATTCTTTCACAAGAACACTGATTTGGTTCCAGTCGCACATTCATGCTCTGACAGCGTAAGCCAGATAAAAGAAGCATGCAGTAATGTTTTTCCTGAGAACTGAAAGCTCCCTTGAATGACTGTAGGTTTGCAAATCATTTAGAGCTTATGGAGCGGTGACCCATTTTTTTGTTTTTGTTTTTGACTTTTTAAAAAAATTTTATTGAGAAACAAATAGCAATGAGACAGTTTCAAAACCAATTAGTAGGACAGTGTCAATAATTAATATATTGCATATTGTTGTCTTCTTAGTGGTTATTCATAGTACAAGATGCAGACATGATATCCTGTCCAAACACTATTACTACAAATCTTTCTTCTCATTGAATTAAGAGAAAGTAGCTGTATATCTATCCTATTTTGTATATACAGATACAAAATGGTCCTTCATTTGTATCCCCTTTTTTTGTTTGTTTAGTTTTGTCAGAGACGGATATTCCATTGCCATTTAAATATTGTAAGTGCATGAATTCAGCAAAATAATCCAATATAGTCCAGTAGACCATAATAGTAGTGGGTTATCCACAGGACTGGCAATGTCAGAAGCTGTTGACTTGAGCCTTTTACAGCTCAGCATATTGATATGGCTTTACTTTTTATATCTCATTTTTATACTTTTCTGCTGGATGGTTAAGACCAAGATAAAGCAAGACCTATGTAACAAGAAAAGTAACTTTTGTATCTGCCAAGGCCAGTCAAATCCCCTCAGGATTTATCCTGAAACCCTGTACTGAAATTTGTAGATCCTTTGTGGTTTGTTTGACCCTTTCTTTTGTACTTGAATAGCCCAACAGTTTTTCACCCAGCTTTAACCTCTTGTTCTCCAGTTGTTTGCAGCCTCAGTGGTGCTGCTGGGAATCTCAAATCTTGATTGTCCTTGTTTCTTTAGTCAATAAGAAAGACTTTAAAAGCAGTGCTCAGCTTTTACCCTAAAACCCATACAACTGTGCAGTACAAAGATCTCCATTCTCATTTTTTTGTCGATTTGGTTTTAGTTTTCTGAGACAGAGTCTTGCTGTATAGTTCAGGCTGCCCCTGAAATCACTATGTAGGCCAGGCTGGTTTTGAAGTTATGGCAATCCTCTTGCCTCAGCCTCCTGAGTGCTGGGATTACAGGTGTGCACCACCATGCCTGGCTTCCACTCTTATTTCATTGGAAGAAAAACTGGGGATAAGGCCAGCGAGATAGCTCAGCAGACTAAGCACCTGCTTAAGCAAGTGCAGGGACCAGGGTTCGATACCCTGCACCACAATGCCATGTCAGACCTGGAACCCCAGGTGCACCGTGTGGGCCACCAAGTCCAAGCATGGTGGTGCACACCTGTAATCCCAGCGCCAGGGAGGCTGAGACAGGAGGATCACCACCAGTCTGAACTGGGTAGTGAGACCCTGTACCAAATTTTAAAAAGAGAAGAAAGAAAAAGAAAAGAAGAAAAACTGGGGATAAAAAGAGTTGAGTGGGACAACATAAAAGCCATAAACAGCCACATCAGTAAAAACTTGTTGCTATCTATGTGTCTTCTAATCGTTAACTTTAAGTAAACCTTCCTTTCCCTACAGCATTTCTGTATTAAATTTGTGCAGAGAAACTAAACTAAATACAATATTAAAAAAAAAAACTAAGCTAATATAAAGGGACAGTTTATATGCTGAGAGTAATCACCATCCAATAAAACACAGAACTTCTGCACCAGCCCATAAAAACATTAGGTTTATGGATACAGAAAATAAATAGTTTGCATGCTATTTAAATATGATTAAAGCTATGGTGCCGTCATGGGGGCTAGGAGGCTAGCTAAGTGTTTTGGTAAGACAGTTGTGGAATTTGCTTTAGAAAGAGAAATCATAGTCACGAAAAATTGAGTAAGTTATCGATGACTCTTTGCTTTTTTCCACCTCAAATAAAACATGACTTACAGCTATCATCTATTCCAAAATTGAAGCCTGAATGTTAAACTCATGTGTTAGTAAAATATAAAAATTACAAGCCTTGTCCAAATTCTCTTGCTTCCCACTTTCTTTCAGCTGTGCATAGCATTTAGTAGGAAGAAGAATAACGGACTTACAATTTTGATAGTAGCTTGGCCTGTGATTTATTTTTCCACTGAGAACATAATGGCATTTCTTTCATCTTCATTTCATTTTATTTTACCCCTAAGGTTTACAACAAGAGAATCACTTAAAGATTCGTGTGGAGCCTGGTTTATTTGAGTGGACAAAGTGGGTTGCTGGGAACACATTACCTGCGTGGATACCTCCGTCAGACTTAGCTGCAGCCAACCTGAGTGTTGATACAACCTACAGGTAATGCCTGAAACTGTTGCTCCCCACATTGTCACTAGGCCAGGATGTAGAGCAGATGAAGGGACAGCCAGCCAGCCTATGAGCCTGGGCAGTAGGGATAGACGTCAGACGATGGTTTCTGGAGCCAAAAAAAAAAAAAAGCCAGCATGCCTTTGTATTTACCACTGGTCTGACTTGCACCTTCTATTCCAACCCACTCCTGTGTTGGATTTCCTGACTTCACTGTGCCTATTTCAGCCTACTAGCAGAACCATTTGGCATCCCAGAACACACATTAGCTGAAGATAATGTAGCCTGGAAGCTCAGGAGATGAGGGAGGTGACCATGTCTTACCTTGGATTTCCACTTTTAATTTTCCCAAGCATTTTTAGTTTTCTATCCTCTGCTCGTCTACTATTGCTATAAAATCCTGGAATGCTAAAAAGGCCACATTATAAGAATTTTTTTGTGGTACTAAGGATGGAAACCAGGTCTTTGTAATGGTGTCCCAGGGGGTTACATCACTGGCCCAGCAAGCCATATATATATATATGAGTTCAAGGGAATCAGCTAAAGTTATACATTAATGACCACATAAGAAAGTAATACTGATGACAGCCAGCATTTATTGATCAATTTCTGCTTCTCAAGTATTGTGTAATATGCTTTACAGTCATCTTCAATCCTTTTCTGTTGATTTTCCCCTTAGATTAGTAACCTGTCTATGCTAGCATTTATTTTTAAAGTGCAGATTGTGAACAGGTTCATAAGACACATGTACGTAATTAAGAATTAATTGACAATAGTGCTATTACATTAACTTTCAAACATTCACTTAGCATCTGTAAAATCTCTGCGAAAGGACCGACAGTCCATGCCATATAGTGGGAAATTCAACTGATGCTTCTTAGAGTAGACTTTGGGACAAGTGACCAAAATAAGCAGAGCTGTTTTCTTTGAGAGATCTGTCATTTCACATACTCACCCGAGCCCCCATTGCAGCCACAAGAGGTTCTGGCTATGGAGGAGAGGATGTCTCTTTTCCACCGTACTCATTTTCCTGCCCTGCAGATGCACCTTCAGATAATCTGATTACTTTATCATGCATTACTTCTTCTTGCCTTAAAGGAATCTGCAGTACTTGAGGATAAAATTGAATCTGTCGGTCAGGCCCCCTACTCATAGGCTTCACATTTTGATCTCTGGCCACTGTTTTCCTGCTCTTGGGGGGCAGGGTGGATAGGAATGAGTTGTTTGCAGGCCAACAGGCATCCTCCCCCTGGCCCGCAGAGAGCTCGAGTTACGGCCAACATGGGTGAAGTGACTTCCGTGCCTCTGCATCCAGACGGCTTAGGCTGACCGTGAATGTGTCTGATTTCCCATCAATGACTCAGCAGCGCTTTCCAAGCTGGACTGTGGAGCTCCCTGGGCTGGTTCTCACTGAGCCTGCCCATGCCCACACAGACCCAGATCCAGGTGCACACAGCCCACGTCCCCCAGCCCAGGGCGATCCGAAGGCTGCGTGCTGGGGAGTGGGGATCAAGGCATGGTTCTCGCCCCATACTTCTGTCTTCTCTTCAGCAAATCAAAATTTAATTCAACCCTGTTGAGTTTGGGATGGGGCCAGAAAGATGAAGCCTCTAATTCTACAAATCAGTTGAGAAGGCCCAAGTTAAAAGCATGTGAGAGAAACGGCCCTAGGCTGAAACATCGCCTGAAGTTAATGATGCCAAGTGAGCAGGCCTTTTGTCATGCCCAAATGATAGAGGCACATGGTGATGAGAGGAGACGCAGGCTCCGAGAGCCAGGTGGCGAGAGTCAGGCATGCTCTCCAAAGGTCCCTGTCATCTTGCAGTCAGGCCCAGCAGAGAACAGGAGGGACGGGGCCCAGAAGTCTGGTTAGGGAAACTTATCAGACTGGTGACTCATATCCAAGCACATGGACAGGAGGCATGAGAGTAGCCTAGAGGCTGCACGTAGATGGAGGCCTCTGTTCTGGGAGGCTAGCTGGGTGGCAAGACAGGAAAACCAAAGTGCACACCAATGTGGCCGGGCTTTAGACGAGGAACTGGGTCCTGACAGTTGGAAAAAAGGAACTGAGAGAGGGCCTCAATGTAGAGCACTGGAGGGCAACAGATCAAGCTTTGAGTCAGGCTCAAGCCACAAGCTTGCACCAGAGCAGGTAGGGGCTGGGGAGTAGACAAGGAGGAGGGATTTTCTGTAGGCACCACCTGAGAACCTGGAGCACCGAGTACCAGATCTGGTGGCGGCTGGAAGCCCACCTGACTCGTGGACAGTACAGTACCGTGCGGGTGCAGCTAGCTGTCCCATGTCCTTCAGAACTGAGCAGACTCCAGCCCTTCATAGGTTCAACTTCAAGGTGCTGGGAAAGGCTGAAGCAAGAACTGCTCAGGAGGAGCTAGATCCCAGCAGCCATCTTGTTCTGCATTGACATAAAGCCTATCTGTCACAATGTGGTCTTGCCCTTGAAATGAGCCCATGAATCACACATCCAAAGTGGTCTTGCCTCTCAGTGTGTGGCGGGCTCGGTGTGGCAGCTCCATGGAGACCAGGTGATACAGGTAGTAATGGAACTGGATGAGAGGTAGAAATGGGGAGAGAAAGCATTTGCCTTGGGACAAACAGGTCTGGCCCTAACAAGTGGTGATTTGTGTCTCTACCTGTCCTCAGGGTAGGGTAAGGGTCAGGAACTGTTCCCAAGAGAAGCAGGAAGGCTGGGAAATTAGACAAAAGCAGGTCTCCTTCATGTGGAGCAATACGGTCCCACTTCTCTGCACAGTAAGGCCAAGAACACAGAAAGCCCACATGATGAGGGCACTGGCAAAGGCTTTCCAGCATGGAAGATCAACTCACCGGCCAGACCTGAGGCCCAGATTCAAGTCTAGGCTGTGAGAGTTGCTAACAGTGAGAGCAAGTCAATTGTTGCCTTCTGGAGCCTTAGTTCTGTAACTTGGGATTCACAAAAGTGTTCCTGGGAAGATTATACTAAAAGAATGCAGGCGGGGCACTGGCGTGGGGTCTGATGCATGGGAACCACTCACAAAGGTGTACTAACACTAACAGCAGCAGTAGTAGTAATGTACTCTGCTGGACACAGCGTGCAAATTTCACTTTTCCAACATACCAACCACCTGCCCCTGGAACCATGCACCCAGTAATAGAAGACACAATGAGAAAATAGAAAATTTAAAGGGCACAAGTATTCTCAAAGAACAAGATGAACCTCTGAGGGAACTCTGTAAGTAGTAAAGAGAGCTTACAGCAAGCAGAGGAAGCAGCCCCCATGAGCACTGCTGACTGATTACCACACTGGGTGCTATGGCCTTCTCAGATACCTCTGTGAATTGTCACAATTACCATTTACGTCTGTGGCCTTCCCACCCAGTCCATCCATCAGAGAGTTTCTCAGCACAGAAACTGGGTTCTCGTCATCTGTACGTTCCCTAGGTTTCTAGTACCAGGTACAATAAGTCTCTGACCTAGTGAGGTTCATAGGTCTGATTGGTCCAGTCTGACAGAGTGACTCTTACACCGTACGGTCATGAAAGCTCGCTGCTCGAATGTTCCTATGCTGAGGACTTCCTGTATGTTTTGTGTTCCAGATAAGAAGAAAAAGGCTGGTAGAAAGTTCATAACCGCACAAACCAGATGGAGTGGTTTTAAAACTGATCCTCCGTATATTGTCCTCTAAAGGGAGGCCTGAGATATTTCAGGCGATCAGATAAAGAGATCTAATCTCCGCCTTGCTTCCTGTTGGCTGTGTGACTAAGTCCATCAGTGACCAATGCCCAGGAAAAGCAGTCACGCTGCTTAATTACACTGTGAATGACAGGTCACCCTCATACCGTACGTGGAGCCTGCATTTCTGCTCTTGTCACTCTGGCCTCCAGTGTAGTAGAAATCCTGCACCTCTCTCCTTCCTAGGGCCCCAGATACAGGGGGACTCTAAACACGCCTGAAATGAAGATGCAGAGTGACATTCATCGCAATGTCTCAGGATCAAAATGTTTTAACATTTGTTTCGTGTTACAGACCTCACATTCCAATCAGCAAATTAGTGGTCTCAGAATCCTACGACACTTACATCAGTAGAAGTTTCCAAGTAACAAAGGAGATAATAAGCGAGTGTAAAGGGAAAGGTGAGCGATACTGTTTTGTTTTCTTTCTTCTTTAGGTGACGTTATATTGAGCTGCGTATTTAAACTTGCACTCACGTATCCAGCATGGTTAATAATGGCCTATTCAAGGTGTTTGAAATTTCTTTCAGAGACTTGCTTATAGGAAAGAAAATACATTTCCAAACTATCTACTAGATAGTTTCACATTAAATTTATAACATTCTCTGAGTACCCAAAATGCTAGATATTCCAGGGAACACCCCAGACTTAGTTACTACATTAAATAATACAGATTCTGTGTTGTAGCCAGAATTCATGCACCTTGTGCAGATCACCTATGCAGTTTCTAGAAGCTGTCTAGAATAACACTGCTTGCCTATAACTGATCCAAGAGAGTAGATTCCACACGCAAACACACCCACTGTCCCTGTTGCCACCAACCAAGAGCAAAGCTGTATAGGGTCCAAGTATCTTTGCTACTGTTTTTTTGTTTTGTTATGTTTTGTTTTGTTTTCTGTATTTTAGGGAAAGGTCTACAGGGTGTTCAGGGTCTCACTACTAGATTGGAATCGTAGCGATCCATCTGTTTATATCCTTCCAAGAGCTGGGATTACAGGCATGCACCACCATGCCCAATCTCAGTTGCCATCTCAGCACACCCTAAGGGGCAGGGCCAGCACGGCAGGCCCAGGGATCGAACCCCCAGCCTCTGCACCTGCTTTCTGGTGCTTTAATCCGCTGAGCTATTTGGCCAGCCCATCTCTTTGCTATTGTGATTGCTCAAAATTGAGCTCAGATATTTAGTGATATGTAGGACTAACCACTCAGTATAAATGTTAGGATAGTATATTTGTGCACACTGGGCAGAGACTGGAATTATGTACAAGAAACTGTTAGCAATGGGCAACAGGGGACAGATGGCTCCCAACCCCCTGTCATCAGCCTGAGCTGCTCCCTGTCATGAGGACCCCCAGCAGGGGCTCTGGGCCAGGTTTCCAGCAATCTCCATGATGCGGCAATAGTATTTAAGCCCGAAGTGGAAAGGTTGGCACTGGGGACCCTGTGGGCGTTGGACAGTTCTGCATCTTGACTGAGCTGCCTGGAGCTGTGTGCTTACGCACAGATTCAGGCTTGTGAGCCTAGAAGAGATTTGAATAAGATGCAGGGTTATACCAGCATCCATTTCCTGGTTTTCATAGTGTGCAGTAATTACAAAGGATGTGCTCACTGGGAATCTATAGAATAATTTTTCTTCTTCGTTTTTCCTTTCTAAATTTTTTTTCCAGGGCTAAGGCTAAGGATTGAACCCAGGCCATTATGCGTATTAGGCAAGCTCACTACTACTGAGCTACAGCTTCTGTCCCTGTTTGAAAATGTTTTTATACGTACTAATTGTACATGTTAATGAGGGACAGTGTGATATCTTAATGTCTATACAGTAGTAATTATCCAGGCAGAATAATTAGCTTTTCCCTTTCCATAAACATTTATCATTTCTTTGTGTTGGGCATAATTATTTTAAGATAAAATCTTTGTTTATTTTAAATAGGCTGCCTTAATGATAAGAATTTTTACAGTATTGCTTGGACAACTTGTCTTTGAAAATGCTTGTCCCAGAATGTGTAGCTTTCAGGGCAGTGTTTGCAAAGTTCACACATGCCTTTCCAGCTACAGTCTTCCCACTCCTTGTTTCCATCCCCAGGAAATAACATTCTCATTGTGGCCCATGCATCCTCCCTCGAGGCCTGTACCTGCCAGCTTCAGGGCCTGTCGCCTCAGAACTCCAAGGACTTCGTGCAAATGGTCCGAAAGGTAATTCATTTTGCATCCGGGGCCCAAGATGCCTGGTAGTTTAATAACGGTTCAGTGACTGACTTAATTTCTTCGAAGCATGCATTTCACACTGAGCTAAGGGGATTCACTTTCACTTACCCAAGATACATTGAGTAGGACTCTGCATATGGCACTTTATTAGGCTTCGTGTAAGAGGAAAAGATGTGTTAGCGCTAGTTCCAGCTTGTAAGAGCTCAAATTTAGGAAGCAGCTTGGAATTCTGAGCGATGAGGGACGATGGAGTAGAGGAACGGACGTGAGCTCTGGCCAGAAGCTTAACTAGACGCAAGGTCCTAACAAGTAGGCCAGGTGGGGGAGGCGAGGAATTAAGGGATCCTCATCCCACTGAAAGGCAAGCCTGGGAGCAAGGCAGCAAGACAGAACCCCAGGGGCGGCCCCTACTTTTGTTTTTTTGGTGTTCTGTTTTGGTTTGGGGTTTTTTTGTGCCTGTGGAAGAGCTTTTCTGGTCAGCTACCTTCCACAGCCCCCTCAGGCAAGTCTGCCACTTCTTTTCACTACCACCAGAGCACCCTGTTCAAACTCTTCCTCATTTCTATAAAACTTATTTATACATCTGTCGTTCCCAGTAATCTGCAAACTGCCAGAGGGCAGGGATTTCTGTCTTGTTCATTGATGTCTTTGGACACCTAACAGGAAAGTAAGTTTTGAAATTGTCAAGTAAAAAAGAAATTGTCAAATTAGCAAAGGCACAGCTTCAAGTTTGAATGTCACAGATACCTATGAACCACGCACTTCCTGGGAAAAGATGAAGCAAAGGTGGGACAAGTTATTTTTGGGTTTTTTTCTTCCTTTTTTTGCGGTACCGGGGATTGAACTCAGGACCCTGCGCTTGTCAGGCAAGCACTTATTCTACTGAGCTATCTCCCCGGCTCCTAGTTTTTTAAAAATTGAATCTTCTTTCCCATTGTGCCCGGGTGTCATTTCAGAAATACGTGAGGGGCCTTTTTAACCTGACATGCAATCAGGGGTTAACTCCTATGTCTTTAGCTTTCTGGTAGCCCCCACTCAGCTCAGAGTGTGTTTGCTGAGGTTTCGGTTCCCCGTGGCCAACTAAGACGCCAAAACATAGGACGCACTCTACAATAAGAGAAAAGGAAAGACCACGCTCATGTTACTTTTATTACAGTGACCACGTTCACATAACTTTCACTAGAATATGCTTTTATACTTTATTTCATATATTATTGCTGTTAGTCTCTTCTGTGCCTAATTTATAAATTAAACTTTATCATAGATATGTATGTATAGGAAAAACTGTATATAGGGGTCAGAACTGACTGAGGTTTGGGGCATCCACTGGGATCTTGGAACATGCCCATGGATAAGGGGCACGCTATATATATAACTTTGTTCTCTTTCTCCCCACCTGGCTAAGCAGCAATCTATTTTAAAAAAAAAACAACAACACTTATAATAGGGCACTCACTTTTGATAGATCCTTCTGGCGAATCCTCTTGCAGTACTGTCTTAGTTACTTTTCTCATTGCCACACCCATGAGTTAAGTGAAGAACAGTTCATTTAGCACATAGTTTCTAGATATTTCAGTTCAGGATTAGCTGGCTCCAAGGCAGGGTGGCGTGGCAGAGGAAATCCGGTTCATGGCAAGCAGAAAACAGCGGAGGCAAGCAAGCAAGCAAGCAAGCAAGGGATGACCACTTCTGCATCTGCCCCTCATTTTTTATCCAGCCTGCTTGGGCGGTGGTTCTTGTACCCTTAATCCTAGTGCCCTTGAGCCTAGCATTACACCGTGAATCAATCCCAGCATCAACTGCTGTAGATCCAGGCACCTCTGAAAACGCCCCACCTGTGACCACGGTAGGCTTAGGGGAGACATCTGAACACTAGTCGTGACAAGTACAAGTACTCTTTTCCCCATTTATTAGTTCTATCCATTTTGTGTCATTTACTGGCTTTTTTTTTTTTTGGTCTTTTTGAGACAGAGTTTCACTATGTAGCTCAGGCTGGCCTTGAGCTCACTTTGTAGCCCAGGCTAGTCTCAAATTCACATTGATCCTCCTTCTGCCTCGGTCTCCCAAGTTCACAGATTACAGGCATGTGCCACCACATCCAGTGCCATTTATTGGCTTTTGAAGGAGGTGTATCTCTGCATAGCCTCTGAATGCCCATTCATTATAATGGGAATAACTAATTCCCATCATACCAAGGACACCTGAATACCCTTCTATTTAGGGTTGAAAGGTAAGGTACTAACACTGTTTTCTCTTTCCCCCTTGCTCACTGCTCTTGCTGCAGATCCCATACCTGGGCTTTTGTTCCTGTGAAGAATTAGGAGAAACTGGAATATGGCAGCTGACAGACCCACCCATCCTTCCCCTTACCCACGGACCCACTGGGGGCTTCAACTGGAGGGAAACACTGCTGCAAGAGTAAGCCCACGAGGGCTGAGAGGGAACATTCTTTTGGAGAAGGATCTGCTGGGTATTCAGTAACAGTGGAAAACTCTGCACAGCGTTCTAAGTGGGCAGCTCAAATTTAACACACTTCCTTTCATGCTTAAGGTTCTTCTGACTTTGAGACTACAAAAATGAGCAAAAGACATGATTCGGGGGCAGAAAAATGCATCCTCTTGGGACTCTTGCTTAGCTATCAAGGCCTTGGAGAATCAGCTTCCTGAACCTGCTCCCGCTGCAGCAGAGGCCCAGCTTCATCCTTGTTCAGGGTGTGGGTAGCTAAGGCGCTTTGCTTCTCCCTACCGGAGCTACTGCCCCCTCCCAGGAGGGATGTGGGAAGGAGGAACGTGTCCAGAAGGCAGTCTGGGGATGGGATGGACATTCTGCCGAGCTCCATTTTCAATTTAGTCAAAACTAAGCTGACAAATCCTGCTAAGGTTACTAGAAAACATGCCCCACTGAGAGTTGTCCTTAGGTTACACCTCCAGATCTACCCTCAGTAGACTTGGTCCATTAGCATTGCTGACTCCCAGACACCCGCTGAAGGAGTGTAGTATTTGCCCTGGTATTTTCTCATTTTCTCGCAGGGGTGGGGGTGGAGGGCTTCCTACTTCTATCCATGAAATGGTGAGAGAAAGCACTTCTCCAAAGCACTTTTAGGTTCTCAAGAGGAAGATCAGATAAATGTGAGGCATATTCAAGCTAGGTGCAGAGAACTTGCAAAATATAAAGTACACTGGGGTTACCTGCGCTGCAGCCTGATGAGCCGAGCACTTCTAAGTCCCCAAGATTGGCTTGTCTTTGCCCCCAGACTCTGACAGTGGTAACTAGCTAAGGAGGTCATTTTGAAAGGATGTGTGTTGAGTGCATCATGTGGATCTGCAGGAAGCTCATTCCGACACCGTGGACGTTGTGACAGACCACAGCAAGGGCCCGGTTATGGTGCTGCCCAGTACGCACCAGCCAAACAATGTCCGAGGCTGCACCCATGGTACCCAGATGTAGAACGAAGTCAGGGAAGTAATGTAACTGGTGGCAGTCATGACTGCGCTACTCCTTGGGCTGTCCTCTTCCTGTTTGTCTTTCTCTGATGATTTAAAATCTATAGGAGGTAGGGCTACTTGAGGGAAGCTGGAGGACCATAGCCTGGTTTCTCACTACAGATACTTCCTGTATTTAGAGGGAGTTTATTTAAAAGAAAAATAAATGACAATCAAACCAAAACATCAGTTATTAATGTCTATTTAATTGTGTAAGTAGCTGACTATTATTAGAGCCGCAGACGGTGGTCTGGTAGGCTAGAGTTCACCATGTGGAATGTGTGTACATTGCAAAACCCCAACCATTTAAACGAAATATTAGTATTTGACAAATCTATATGAGCTGTAGCCACATTGAATAAATTGTAAAACCCAGACATATGTTTATAAAAATAGACCTGTACTGGTATTTGAAATTGAAATTAGACAACTGCTGGAAAAAAAGAAGTGAAAGGTGATTTGCTACATATGTTAGCAAAAGGATTATGATTATATGTTTTAAAGACACCTAGAGAAATATGATATGAAATTTCCATTTTAAGAAACAAACTGTGGTTTCTCCTCGCATTGCACCATATTGCTCTGGCTTCTGACCATAGAAATCACTCTGTGCTGACAGGATTCTGTGTTTGAACCTTGCAGGGTCTAGGGTGGAAATTCTCCCACTAAAGTTCGTACAACTCACATTTCAGCTAACTTCATGAGGTTACTGCCCCTGCCACTCGTTCTGCTGGTATTGATAAAGAAGTGGGTCCACTGTTTAATCATATCTATAATGTTTATAGACTCACCACAAGTTCTCATGGGTTTTGAATGCTTAGAATAATACTTGAACACTTCATATCAAATTTCCTGAAAACTGTAGGAGTGTGTTCTGGACAATGTCTGTACTTTTATAAAATAGAGTTGAAAATGTGTTACCCCATCCATCTTTCTTCAGGATGTCCTATGATGTCCTGAGAATCAGTTGGATGACAGAGCTTCATCCCATTGTCCTTAGTCCAGTATCAGGTAGCCTTAGGCAACAATCTACAGAAGCCAAAGGAAGAATGGGTCTGAAACAATTTTCTGAATAATTTGGGTGGAAAACCTTGAATATAAGAAAAATTATATTCCTCTGCTGTAATCAACTAGATTGCTTATCAAAATGGCTGAGTAATTTGAATTCACATTGAAATCTTATTTCACACTTAACTACTTAAAAAACTAAAGTTGGACTCCAACCAAGAAATGATAAATCATGTTGAATCTATGTGTAATAAAAGAGACAACTGTTTTTCCAAATTTCACGTTCTTATAAAAATTTTAGATTGACATTATAACCTGAAGTTAAGGTGTGCTTTTTCTGACCTGAGGCTGATGTTGATTAAAACCTGTGATACATGGAGGAAGGATAGAAAAGAAATGAGGGAAAGAATTACCAGAAAAGGATCAAATGATTTCTTATATAAAGGATTGTTTTTGAAGTTAAAAAGCTGTTGGAAATAAGCTAGTGGAAATAAATTAGCTAAAGGGCTTGGTCTAGGATTGCAAATCTCAGTGTGCTCCTACAAGTGTGCTACATCAGTGTGCTAAAGTCCGAGTGCTAGCTATAGGTAGAGCTTGGCTTTCTGTGATCTTAAAATGCCACATTGGTTCCTTGTGGACCAGAATAAAAGGCGCATTTTAATGCATGGGCTGAGGGTTTCATTTTCCCAGGCTCTGCTCCCCATCATTTTCTGGGCACCAGAAGCCTCCCTGATAGGAGCTGAGGTGACAGTGTTTCCCACTACATTTAGATTCAGAGAATCTGAATGGCTGATTAAATGGCCATCTGATGGCTGAAAGAGGGGGGTATTTTTCACCCTGTAGTGAAAGGCTTAGAGGAGTTTCTACTTTTTTTTTAAATTATACTTTAACCAAAGACTTATTTTAAAGTAATCTTATATTTGAAAGATGACTTTTGCAAAATAAATGAATAAATGCCTTCTGGAATATCAGGTTGATAAATCATCGTTGATCATTTTCTCGTCAGCCATGTCTGGGACGCACATAGACTGTCCCATTGTGTGTAGCATTGCCATAGATGTTTCTTTTCCACTCAACTAGCTGTATTCGTATTAAAATGAAGTCTCCTATTTCAATTACCTAGTGTCGTTGAGAAGGCATTGAACAGCAGCAAGAAGAGAAGTCCCTATCTGTTGCCTTTGTAGAAAGGCTTCCCTGTGTGGTAGCGAGGCACTCCCCCACCAGTGTTTAAATCTAAAAGCGGTGATGAATTGCTCTTTTGAATCCACTGAGTCGTGCATGTGTTAGAATACAGATGAACCTCCGTTTAATTTTCACAGGCTTTAGTGCAGTCTACTGCACTGAATCGGCACCGCGAAGTTAGCTGATGAGGCTCTGGTGATTTGCATTTAAATTATAATCCAGCCTGCAAGTGAGAAGGAACAGGCTATGGTTTGAGGAGGCTGTCGTGAGGGAGGGATGAGACTGATGGAGAAAAGGGTGAGGGACAGAGGAGGAAGAAGTGCCTCAACATCAATTTGGATTAATGTTGACTTTCCAGAGGTGACAGAAGCATGCTGGCAGTGTTGGCAGATGCACTGCATTTTTTAAACATAGGATTAAAATTGGATTTGCTTCTCTTTGATACTTTAACAGATTGAATTTTCCTAGGAAAGTGACTAGCTAATATACTGAAAATTTAAGGGAAGGGGAAAAAGATTGCCTCACATTGCAGAGGAAATAACTTGATTTTTAAATACATGTAACATTAGGTTTGGTGTATGTAGGCTTACGATTATAGTGATGAATAGTCAAACTTAATAGACAATCAATTCTTACAAATATTTTACCCAGTATTACTTAGTTGCCATAACAACAACAACAACAACAAAAATCAGAATTCTGCAGCTGTTCAGCTAATTATGGACTCTATACAGGACACATATGTATAATGAAAAATGTGTAATGTTTTTTGTCAATTGCCAGTCAGGTGGGGATGCTACCCCAAAGCTTTTTGTTATGCATAGACCATTCTAAACCTGCTATGTGGGGGAGGCATATGGTTTCTCATTTATAGGACTATTGTATCATTTTTTTCTATGTGATTCCAGTGTATTTATTTGAAAAATAGTTTGTATTCACCAAAAGGAAGACCACACCTGTCTGTATTATCAGATTCCTTGTACATTCCCTGTGCCATTTGTGCTTTCCTGGCCTAGAGCTTGTCCCCTGATAGAACCGTGGCACCATTGTAACCAGCCCGCTGCACCCCAGGCCGGTCACCACGCAAGTGGTCCCTAGGTGATTTAATAAAGAGAACTGGTGTCCTCGGTTGATCCAGAGCAATCACATATTAAACCCTGGGCGGTGTCTGCTGCTATCGTGTTCTCAGATGTTAACTGTGGTCATTTTGATTTTGGAAGTGTCCATTAAAATATGATTCTTCTCTCAGCTGGCCTGAAAGATGCTTGCGACTACCTGAGAAGGCAGAGGATGCTCAGCAACTGTGTGGGACTCAGAAACTGTGTGGCTCTCAGAGGTGAAAACCCACCCGCGACTGAGGAAGCAAGCTCTAAAATGCTTTCACTTTTTCCCATTTGCAAACCGTTGATGACACAAAGTAACTTTCCTTCTGTAACCCATACCACAAAGTAGAACTTTTAAAGGTTAGATTTTGTTTTTTTTCTTCAGAGACAAGTAGGCTCTCCAGGCCTCTGCAGACCCCGGGCATACACTGCCACCCCCACCTCCCCGCAGCCCAGATGCATAGGCAGAAGGCGTGGACGCTGGCACCTGGAGATCTGGTCTGGTTTCGGTTCCATGGCAGGGAGGAAGGAGAGAGCCAGGTCTGAGAAGGGATGAGACAAACCTGGTCACTCTCTCTCATTCGAGTTGCCCCCTGGCGGTTCTGGTTGGGACAGAGTCTACCAAACCTGCAGAAGAGGAGGAGATGGCTATGGGTGATGATGCATCCTCTGTCTCCTAGAAGCTACCTTTGAATAAACCCTTTTTTCCTTTTTTTCCAATTTTATTTTTATTTTTGTTTTTTGTATTTTAGTACAGGGTCTACAGGGTCTCACTTTGTAAATCACACTCGTAATGATCCGCCTGTGTTCAGCCTCCTGAGAGCTGGGATTATAGGCATATGCCACCACGCCCAGTCTCAATCACCATCTCAGCGCAGCCTGCAGGTGGGATTGGCATGGCAGGCTGGGGATTGAATCCCAGCCAGCAGCTACATCTACCTAAGCACAACAGGTTTTTTGTTGGGTTTTTTTGTCTCTGGAACCAGGGATTAAACTCAGGTCCTTGCACTTGCCAGGAAAGCATTTATTCCAATGAGCCATCTCCCTGGCCCCTTTAATAGGTGCTTTAATCAGATGAGCTTTTTGACTGGCCCTCTTTTTTCCTTCTTAACAAAACAAATTACCTCCACTGATTTGGTCAGTAGTGAGCAGACAAATCTGAGCACTCGACCTAAGTGGCCTCTGACACTTCCCCTAATCCTAGGTTCATAGCTGAGACTCCTATAACGAAAGACAAATAACAAGAAAAAAAAAAAGATACATATTTAAGTCTCCTGTGACATGGCAAACTTCATAAGGAAGTGAAGCTCTAAACAAAAATTTAAGTGTGGGGAGGGGGAAGCTCATGTTAAATTGCCCAGACTGCCTCAGACTTGGAATCCTCCTGCCTCAGCCTCCTGCATGCTGGGATCACAGGCATACACCACCCAATGTAAACCTAAATATTTTTATGCTAAGTTTGATAAAGAGTAGATAGGCTGGAGAAACATAAAGTGAGGCAGATGATCTGTGGGAATAAGTCAGGGAAAGGGTGAGGATTCTGCTCACCATCCATCATTTTCAGGGATAAGGGTGTCCTTTTGTCCAGGTGCATGGAGGACACCCCTCAGAACCACTTCCGGGGAGAAGAGCAAGCACCAGCGGAGCCAGAATGACTTCCTAGTTTCTATTTTCTCAAGTTTCTTCAGCTTACAGCAGTCAATATACAGCTGGACATGGTGATGTGTGCCTGTAATCCAGGGCTTGGGGAGGCTGAGGCAGAGAAATTTCAAGTTGGAGCCCAGCCACCTGGACAATGTAGCAAACCAGCCACACCCTGTCTCAATAACAACAAAAAAGGGTAACTTGGTATTGAAGACCCAAGGCTTAATCCCAAGTTTCACAATCAACCAATCAATCAATGAGAAAAGGGTTGGGGACACAGCTCAATGTGAAGACCCTAGGCCCAATCCCTAGTACCACCAAAAGCTTTTTTCAGTATTCCAAGGCACCACATTTCGGGGTAGCAGGTTCTGAATCCCATGAGAGTCTTCATTCTTCATCCGATACCTACCTCCAGGAACTGCACAGATCTGCTCCACAGAATAAGAATTTGGGTAAGAGAGGGGGCAAATCCACCTCTTACTTCATTCTGCCCTACTACAACCCATGGAAACCATTTTCAAAGTAATTAGATGTTAGGCTAATAAGACATAAAAATAGGCCTGGGATGAATGCAGACTTGTGCCCAGGACGTGAATACAGATTTTCATTGACACAACCATCCCCTTGCTGCCTTGGCAGGGCTGGCTTCCTGAGGAAACCTAAGCACTACCGCTGCAGTCTGACAAAAGGCCAGGCTATGTTTAGCCTCCTGGCTGGTTCTCAGGTGCTCTCTGCTTGACAGATTCCCAAACTCATTTCGCCCTTTTGTGATGTATGTAGAAGCCGCACACCCAGAGGAAACCAATCAGTGTACTTTGGATTTGTTTAAGCTTAAGTCAGCAAAATGTGGTGGTGATGTTTTTGAAAGTTGCTTGAGGTCCAGGAAGAAAAAAAAAAAAAAAAAACTTCCTCCCAACCACATAGAATACTTCCTTTTGCCAGAAATAAACATGTGAAATCCAGGCGGCTTGCTCCTGGCCACAGAAAGGTGCCACAAATTGTTAGCTTGCCATGCAGGGCTGCGCTCCTGGGGTAGTCCTCAAGGTCTGTGTACCACCGAGAAGAATGTCATGCTGTGCTAAGGACATATTCAGTCAGGGTTGAGCCAGTCTTAGCTACTCACAGGATGTCCTAGAAGCATTTCCTCTGTCTGATATGCATCATGAGGATTTTTTTTTTTTTTTTGCCAGTGTGGTTAGGAGAATCAAATAGAATAGTACATATAAAATATCTAACATTACGTGTTAATGATAATAAAGTGCTACATGCTAACAAATAGGTAATATTGCGCTAAGGGTGAAAGCCAACTTGGAGACATCCTACTCTTCTGTCACTGGGATGAGGAATAAGCACAGCATCCTCTGTAAGGATTTACACACTTTGCTTCCTGGATGAGGTGGGGTTTTTTGTTTTGGTTTGGTTTGCTTTTTTTGTTTTTTGTTTTTTTTTTCTTTCGGAAATGGGGATTGAACTCAGGCCCTTGTGCTTGCCAGAGAAGCACTTATTCCACTGAGCCATCTCCCTGGTCCCCCTGGAAATGAGTTTCTATAGGAACAGGGGAAAGATAAAAGTAGGTTTGTTGGTTGGATTTTGTGGTTCACTTGGAAGGCCCCCTTAACAATTAGCACCTTCCTTTTGTATAACTCTTTGTAATTTAAAAACCAGTTTTCACTGGAGCCTCGTAACAATTTTACAAGGTAAATAGATCAAGTATCACTAACGCACTGTGTGACTGAAACTAAGATCTCGAGGTCATGGAGTTACTCATCATTCTGCAGTACTTACTGACTGCTGTGCTCCTAGCAGGGCAATAGGCGGGAGATAGAGTGGCAAAGAAGAAAGCAAGGTGCCCGCTCTCATAGACAGGGAGATAGACAATGAAGACATAAACAAGATATTGTGAAGCCTCAGAGATACTGTTTAAGAAATATACTGGGTACTGAAAGAACAACTCTGCAACCTGTGGTAGGAGATTCCATCCTGGGGGGGTCACACATGGAGTCCCTGAACAGGTGGCCATTAAATCAGCTGAACAGCAGCTGGTGACAGCAAGGAGCTGTGCAAGGACAGCTCATAGAAGCTATGAATGCAGAAGCCCCCAAGTGGGAAGGATCTGGCTGGATGAGCATAGAAGAGCCTGCAAGTGAACAGTAATTATACTAGAAAGAGGAAGAAACAAGGCTAGCAGGTGGGCACGCCCATAGACATAGGGTCCCACAGCACAGGGCTCAGGAAGTGACCACCATGACCAGAACCTCATGCTTGAAAAGAATTGAGCCCATGACCTGGCTTTGTGTACCTGGAAAGCTAAGAATGCTGCTTACTATTTAAATGCTTGGGGAAAAATATTATTTCATGGCTTATGATTGTTATGCTAACTTTGAGTTTCAGTATCTACAAAGTTCATTGGAATATAATCTTGCTCATTCACTGACATGGTGCCTATGGCTGTTTCCAGTAACAAAGGCAGTGTTAAGTAGGAGAATTTCTTTCCCCTTGCAATACAGAAAATTGAAACCTGGGCCTTCAACTGAGCTGAATTCCCACCTCTTTTAATTAATTAGTTAATTAACTAATCTTGAAATAGGCCCTCACTCTGTTGTCTAGCCCAGGTTCAAACCTACAATACTCCCACCTCGGCCTTTGCCTCCCAGAGTGCTGGGCTAGGATTACAGGTGTGCACCACCAAGTTTGGTTAAAAAATATTTTACATGTTTACTGTTGACCCTTTATTGGAAGAACATGCTGATTGCTAATGTAGATTCACATGAAATATCTGGATTTTGTTCTAAATCCTCTGAACGTGGCACAAAAAAACTAGTTTACTTGGCAGATCAATTGGCGGTGTGCAGGGACTGGACAGTAACAGCCAGCATCTACTAAGCATGTACTTATCAGGCACTGACATGCTTTGCCTGTGTGAACTTTAATCTTCTGGACAACTTTGTTTAATAGATGCTGTCGCCCTAGTTTGTAAAACAGAAATCCATCCTTGAAAACGCCAATAACTTGCTCATCATCATATAATGTAAAAATCACTGGGCCTGACTTTTCACCATTCCAGCCTGGTTTCACAGCCTAGACAATAGCTGAAAGTTTTTTTAGGAGATGGTCACAAAAATATCATAGAAATCTAAGCACTTGGGAGATGCTTGGGTTTTCACAACACAGACGAGACCCCGGGACTTTCCTCTAACCCCCTCGCACACAGGGAAGGACACAAAGGATGCTCACTGTCCCCACAAGGCCCTATAAGCTGGACCTAAACAGCCGCCTCTGATGCTGAGGTTCAACTCAGCACTGAAATCAACTCCAGAGTCAGATCTCTGCATGCCCTGTTTGATTAGCTTACACAAAGTACCTGCCTCTTCAAAAGTCCAGGTTCCCAGACCAGGGAGATAGCTCAGTGAAATAAGTGCCTGCCTGGCAAGTGCAAGGTCCTAAGATCG